TTTTGAAAGTATTCAAGCCTCCAACCTCGGAGTCACTCTCGTTTACCATCAGAGGGAATGATCTAAACGGTCCCCACGCTCTCGGAACAACCTGCATTCGCTTTCAAAGCTCTTTTATCAGACTCCTATGTATCATGTTTCTCCATCAGCGCTCCATGCACCAACAAAGCTACATACTCAAAGCCTCCAAAGTAGCATGCAAACTGCTTTTGGAGCCCTTCTCCGTCAAAAAGCTTTATCCACCTTTTGCGTCATCTCCTCCATCAATTACGTGATCCCTCTTTCCACAATTCTTCATTCGTGAAGTTCTTCATTTTTTTTTTTTTTTGGATTTTATATTTTTACAAGAGTATTTTCGTGATTTTAACAACAAAGAGGGTCTTAGAACACATGTTCTTCGGCCTAATTTAGGCCTAGGCGAACCACACCACAATCAAAGATCCTACCGTCGTCATCTACTTCGAATGCCCATTGTCTTGGCCACGTTAGAACAGGCACCAACAAGTTAAATACTTACACATGCACACCCCGTCACGTTATGCCCTCCAAATCTATCAGACCCCGACAAGTATAAATTGACTAATCCAAATCAAACCAAATATGAAAATGTTGTTACTGTTTTTTTCCAAAATATGTTTTAGTGCTGCAATGAATATTAAAAGAAAATAATTTTGAATGAGAAGGTTCTAGCATAGCCGGAATATACTGTGAAATTTACTTTATGTTCATATAGGGTTATCAAATGGATGTATGTACTTGACACGACCCGCTTAATTATGCACAATTCTGTTATATATAGTACGGTCCGCTACTATTTGTGTAAGCCCACAAGTGTCTATTAGCCAATGCTCCCATGTATTGTTTTGTGCTAAGCCACAAGTTTATGTTAGACCATTTGAATCCACATCAACGCATTCTATTGATTGCAAATTTTAGACTCGTTTATTTTATTAATTTGAGTTTTTAATTTGAGTTTTATTACAGTTAAAAACTCTCATAAAAAGTTACATTTAATTTTTTCTGTTATAGTAAAAAGCTCTAACGTAAAAAGACATCTCAACTCGAATTAAAAATTGAAATCTGTGAACTGAACGAGATCTTCATTAATCATTTTTCTATATGAATTTTTCCAAGAAAATGATTCAAATACAAATAATAAAATAGAATAGGAATTTATTTTTTAAAAATAAATAATGGAAGTGAAATATATTGGAATAATATTTAAGGAATACAACTTAAATGCTTTCAAATGTAGTGCACAATGTCCAAGAGAAAAAAGGGGAAAAAAAGAACAAATGTTGTTTGTTTAGGGACATGTGTTACGGTTTCTTCAATAGAAGATGAGGAGTAAAAATTGTGCATTAAGTAATATTTTAAAAAGAGCTTAAATAAGTTAAAATAGTTTTTAATTTTTCTAATAATCAATAAAAGTGTTAGAAGGAAATTGTAATATCATATTAAAATTTTTGTACAAATTTTAAAATTTATTTAGAAGAGTTTTATTATTATTATTATTGTTATTATTGTTATTATTATTATTATTATTATTATTATTATTATTATTATTAAGAAGCCACATTTTGAGAACATCTAGCACTTATAGAATTAACTTTTGGTCTCAAGAAATCAAAAACAGTTCTTAGGAAACTATGCGAAAGAGACCCGTACATGTCTCAATGGCTTAAGTTGGCTATAACATTGACGCTCAAGGTTTTAATCCTAGTGAAGTACAGTAAAGAATTATATATGTACACATATATACACACATATATAATATATATGTACTATAGGTATCGAATTAAGATGTACACATATATACACATATATAGTATATATGTACTCTAGGTTTCGAATTAAGTGTAGCGGAAAACTTAATAAATAAATTAGAAATGGTAGTAAATAGCATTTTTACCAAACTAAATTAAGTAAATATCGTACTTTAAAATATTTGTAAAAAGATTTGTTTGCCATGTAAAATTTTAATTTACTGTTATTTATTTTAAATAGTTTTAAAATATGTTATTTACAATAAATAAATTTTTTATTTACGACTTGTAAAAGGATTTTTACTACATAAATATTTAATTTACTGTTATTTACTTTAAATAGTTTTAAAATATGCTATTTATTTCAATTATTTACAGCATATATGCTATTTACTTCATTCTCCCTAAATAAATAAAGCCATAAACAACCAAATAAACAAAGATCATACCTGCTACTGTAACTTTTGTGTTTGTAATAAGATTGGTGGTTTTCCTACCCGACCAACATCTAGTTTATTATTTTTTATTAGATTTAGGTGTTCGGTTTAATATCGATATGGTGGTCTTAGTCCGACTAGAATTTTTTCTATGCATGTGATGTCCTTTTTCTGTGGGGTTTGAAGATCTACCCCTTTAACGCTCGACAGCTTATGTTGAAGAGAGGGATTTTCTCCAGTCGAGCTTTCAGCCCGCTCGTTAGTAGTATATGCCGAAGCGCTTTCATGGTTGCAGGCCTTAGTCGTGTGTCTGTCTCTCTGATGGATTAACATTGTAGCGAGACGGCTGTTTATCAATATTTTAATGAAATATAATTTTCCCTTCAAAAAATAAATAATAGTGAACCTATACTTTTAGCAAATATATATTGATTGAACTCATTTGAAATTTCACAAAAGTAATCATGTTTTTGTCATGTAATAATTTTAATTTTATGTATGCTAAAAGAATTCATGAATCAAAATCTCACAAATGTGTAATTTAAGGAGTGGGGAGTAATCAAGTTAACAAAAAAAAAAAAAAAAAGGCTAAGCGTATCTAAAATTTCGTTCAGTTCACTGATTTGAGTTTTTAATTTAAATTGAGATATGATTTTATGTAAAAAATTTTAACTGTAATAAAAAATTTAAATATAATTTTTATAAAAAAAATTTATTGTAATAAAATTAAAATTAAAAATTTAAATTGATGAGATCATCCGGTCATTAAGATATAGCCAGATTTGTCGCGAGTCAATTCTATTTGACATGACAACCCTGAAGGGGAAAAAAACATTTGGCAATGAAAAGAGCACATATCACATCACGCCGCATCAAGCACCGAAGCTAGGATAGAAAGGGAAAAAGAAAAAAAAAGAAGAAATGTATATCTTATCAAAAAAATAATTTTATAACGTCATAAAACTGAAATATAAATTGACACAAGAGTAAAAAAAAGGTTAAATAAAAGTATAAAACAATCATTTTAATTTTAAAAAATTTATAGGGCGCGTTTGAAACTCATTTTAAAATAATTATATTTTATGTATAAAAATAAAAATAAAAATATTTTTAATTTTATATATAAATTATTTTTAAAAATATGTTTAATAATTTTATCAAGAGATTATTTTCAGTGTAAAAAAATCAATTAATTTCTCTCATTCTCTCTCTCTGCTTGAGAGAGGAGAAAACGAAAATGAAAAATAAAAAATGACTAAAAGTCATTTTTCATTTCTCTCACTTTACACTAAACTAAAAAAGTGTTTTTTATTTTTATTGTGCCAAACGCTGTTTGAAAAACGTTTTCATTTTTTATTTCTCAAAAAACGTAAAAAATAAAAACAGGATCAATTCTAAACACGGCCATAAATTCTTTAGTACATGCATATTCATGATGTTCATCATAAAGTTTTTATTTTGTGCATCGTTTTTGCTAGTCAATTAAAGTTTTTTATTTTGTGCATCATTTTAATACTAAAATCGGTAATTTTCTAATTATTTGCCTATGAGCTTAATAGCTTATAAATAGAGTTGTGTTGTCAATATCTCACACTTGAAGTGAACAATATTTCTATTTAATTACATGTTCACTTTTTCAAAGTGTAAAATATTCTAATCAATTTTTTCACAAAATGGTGCAACTGAATGTAATTTAGGAATTTTATCTTTCATCTCTAAAGAATTACGAAAGTCTTATTTTAATCTCTAAACTTTAAAAATAAGTGGTATAGTCTATATTTCCAAAAAGAAAATAGAAAAAAAGTATTTCTACTTCTCCCTTGTAGGTAATATTTGGCTACAATAGCTAATAACATGTCTATCGTTCAATGATCACAATTTATGCCCAACATTTTTTGATTGTCACATGCCCATTGTAACTTAACCAAAGAATATTTCTCTTTCTCTAACTTCTAGCGTTCTCATATTAGAGATTCTCACATTACTATTTATGCCAAACAAGATGAATATTATATTTACAAAACTTGACCAAATGATGAAGATTATGCATGTGAAGGAAGAGTCACACTCTCTGCCTATTTGAATTAAAAATCATTATACCATGGCTTAGATTTGGGTGACCATTTTGTTTTTATTTTCTCCTTTTCCTCTCCAGACAATAATAATTACGAAAATGGGCCAACATGCACTTTTACCCCGCCAATAGAAACATATTTTAATTGTTGAATTAGTTTTTTAACAATTTAATTTGAAGTAGGAAAAGTTATGTATCACACGCTTTAAATTTTTAAAGCGAATATGTCAAGATATGACTTTTAAAAAACTAATCTAACGATTAAAAATAATACGTATCCGTAGAGCAAAACATATATGTTCTAACATAAAAGTTCACTAAAATAAGATTAGACTAGATGGATAGTCTAGAAGCCGGTTTGGTGAAAAAAAAAAAAAATTAATAGAAATTTAAATTTTATAAGAAAAATACTATAATAAAAAAATTTAAATAGTATTTAAAATTTATGAAATAAGCATAAGCTAAATTTATTATACTAATCGTAAATTATTATTTTTTTATTAATAATTGTTCAAAAGATCTACACTAATTAATAATAAAAAATAGGAAATAGAGTTAGTCCTAACACTACAAAATAATAATAATAAAGTTTTTAAAATAATAATAATTGTTTTTAAACTAATAATAATAATAATAATAATAATAATAATACAACAACAACAACTTCTCTCTCTCCCTCTCTTTCATGTCTAGTGTTTTCCTTCCCATTGGTTTAAGCTTTCTCATCATAAACATATCAACAAGAAGAAGATAGAAATCCCCTCTCTCTCTTTGTGTCTTCGTTCTTTCTTTTCAGCTGAAGATCTTCCTTGCTTTCGGTGCGTCCAAAAGCAAATTCAAAAGCTGAAAGTTTCAGTCACTTCTCTCTCTCTCTCCTCTGTATTTTCAGTGTCCTTTTATTTTTACCTCTGTAATCTCTGTCACTAAACCCACCCCAAATCCCCCACTTATTTACGTTCTTTTTCGCTTCGTTAAATCATCCTTTTCCTTTTCTCCCACCCTTTTTTCTGGTTCTCTCACGAAGTAAACCTCCTTCTTAAGTTGTTGTTTTTTTTTTCCTCGAACATCCATTTTTGGTTGCTTCTTCCACAAGATCTTATCCAATTCTGCTTACAAATTAAGCTGTTAGAAGAACAAAAGAAAAGAAAAAAATTCCCAGAATTTTATGGCCGAAAACGGTTTCTCTGGCTTCAAATATAGGTTCGAGGCTTTGTAGATTTCAGCTCGAGGAAAATCAAGGGAAAGGAAAAGAGAAATAATCTTTTTGTTAATGGATTCAAATACGAGTCAGATTCATGGCTATAATCAGCAAACGAATTCAGGTTTACTGCGATTCCGGTCGGCTCCGAGCTCGCTGCTGGCGAATTCTTGCGAATCGGAGAGGCTTTTTTCGCGGTTCGTGGATTACAGAAACGACGACTCGGAGTGTCTGAGTGACGACAATAAGTCGGCGGTGATGAGTATGAGCGGCGGCCAAAGGAGTTGTTCTTCTTCTGGGTTGGGGTTGCCTCCTCATTATCCTCGCCAGAGCTCCAATTCGGTGGAAAACCAAAACGGGTCGTCATTTGGGTTGGTGGTCAATTCCCAATCTAGCCTTATCCGGCAAAGTAGCTCTCCTGCTGGACTTTTCTCCCAAATCTCTGCCCCTAATGGTAATTCTCGCTTCGTCTTGTTCTTCATTCTTCATCATTTTCCTCTTTTTTTATTTATTTATTTTTATTCATGTGTATTTTAGCGTTGGGATTTTGTTCAACAAAAGGATTGTATAAGAAGGTTGAATTGAAGTACAAGGGGAAAAGCAGATTTTTTTTTCTCTTTTAGGCGGAAAATTTTAGTTGTTATTATGATTGAATGTCCTAAAGTTGGATGAAACTTGTTGGCCATTTTTTTTAATTATTGTTTTATTTATTTTCTCAAGTTTGGTTGTGCAATGCAATGGAGGCAACAAAATATATTGCCCAAGTGAATAGGTCAATTGTGATTAGGCAGAATTGTTGAATTTATAGTTAGATTGATTGAGTTGACTTTGTGGTTTATGGGATCCACTAAAGTGAGAATTCAGTTTGCTCTTTTTTTTTTAAATGGTTTTGGGGGATATATAATTTAATAACTTGAATCAATTGAGCAGTCTGAATGGGATTTTAGAGGGCTAGAGTGAATTATTGAAAAATTTTGGAAGAAATTGCAGGCTATGCAGCCATAAAGGGTGCCAATTATGGTGGACTGGATGGAGAAGTAAGTCCATCTACAAACAGATTGAAGACTCAGATTAGTTTCTCATCAAGACTCCCTTCTTCTTTGGGGGTGTTATCGCAGATTTCGGAGGTTGGGAGTGAGAATCTCGGGGCAAGTACCCTTGACGAAGAGAAGCTCGGAAATGGAAATGGCGATGCTCGGTTTTATGGCACCGGATTTCCATTTGGTTCTTGGAACGAGACCTTGAATTTCACGGACGGCTTTAGTGGCTTAAGAAGAGACCAAGAGAATAACAGAAAGTTGTGTTCTAGTACTCAGGTAGAATAAGATATTTGGGTGGATTTTTTCTGAATTGTTGCTTCTTGTTCAACTTCAAGCTTACTTATTGCTTTATGATCAGAATGAAGATCTTGGAAATCGAATTCCTCTATTGTCCCACCACTTGAGCTTGCCAAAGAATTCAGCAGAAGTTGCCATAGAGAAGTTCCTTCATTTCCAAGATTCTGTTCCTTGCAAAGTTAGAGCCAAGCGTGGTTGCGCCACTCATCCTCGAAGCATTGCAGAAAGGGTAAATAGAACCATATCCAAAACCAGCTCTTCATTAAGATATTTTGTCTGTTCTTTGTATATCCATAAAGCTAATATGTGAACAATCAGGTGAGAAGAACCCGCATCAGCGAACGAATGAGGAAACTGCAAGAACTTGTCCCAAACATGGACAAGGTATAGAACTTGTTCAGCCAAATTCTAGCTTTTGTTATTATCTTTACTTTGGTTTATTACTAAGTTATGCATATTATCTTTCCTTTTGGCAGCAAACGAACACGGCGGACATGTTGGACTTGGCTGTTGAGTATATTAAAGACCTTCAAAAACAGTTCAAGGTAAGAAAGGAATCAAGTGAAGAAATCTTTTAGTCTTTAATGAACAATTCAGCATCTTGATTATTATTATTTTATTTTATTTTATTTTTTTCTGTTTTCTTGCACAGACTCTCAGCAATAATCGAGCAAACTGCAAGTGTTTAAGTATGCAGAAGCCAATCCCAAATCAAGTTGTGTGATTTGCTTCCATAAAGAAGATAAAGAATCAGATGAGTAGTGGATAGAAACCAGATTTTCCTTTCTATTGTGTTCTAAACATTTAGTAGGAAGTAACAGAAATGTTACCCTTAAGCTGTTTTGAAGTAGAAGTTTAAAAGATTTTCCATTACACCATCCAAGTCCTGTAAGCTCTAACAAGTGTTGTATTACATGAAATATGAAATAATGGTTCTTTAAAAGAAGAAGAAAATTCCTATAGGGGAGATCCTAATAATGCCTTTTGTAATTCATTATCTTTGTTTTTCTTCAATATAGTTGCAACTTTTACTAGTGAAACTTTTCTGTTTTGGACCAACTTTGATACTTTCATGTGGATAAAGTTGGAGCAAAAAATTGAATGTGCTTCGAAAAGTGAGACTTTTGAAACACTTTATTGCTCATGTGAAATTGCTCTCAGTTTTCAATTCTATTAATTTAGTGATTGTACCATTTTACCGATTTGAGTTTTCAGTTTTAAATTTTTACAATAAAAAATTTTTAAAAAATATCACATTTAATTTTTTTTACTATAATAAAAAATTTTAAAAAAATATCACATTTTAATTTGAATTAAAAACTTGAATCCCCATAAACTTATTAATAGTTGAAACCCAATCGCGTTTATAATAATATGATCACGTTGCCTTTCTCTCTTTGGACATAGTGGGTAATCCTTATCCTATTTTCCTTTTTATTTTATTTTTTAAAAAGGGCAACCACTAAGTATAGTACCAAAAGCCTATGTCGGGTACCTATTTTCTTGTCTTTTCTTAGAGGGGAGAAAAAAAAGAGTTGCTTTTTGTTATGTTTTAAAAAGTCTAATTAGGGTAATAGATGTGCTATTTAAGTAAAAATAAGGATTCAGTCAGTTGTCTAATTTTCTTATTTTATCATGTCATTTAATATATTGAGTCTAATTTTTTATTTTATTTTATCGTGTGATTTAATAAATTGAATATTAAAGCATGAAAAAGCAAGTCGAAAAGAATTTCAAATTTTTTAAATGAAGTGACATGATTTAATTGGTTAAGCATCATTTTGAATATTAAAATTGAACATGTAATCCAATCTCAAAACAGAACGTGGGTTTACAACACTTGTTAATTTTTCAACTCTGATTAAAGCTTAGGTAGTTGGCATTTTATGTTCTACCAACACTAACAGGTAATCAGCTTCATGTTTGTCCACATTGTTATAAATTGGATCTCTGCTATCACAAGGAATAAGCTATTGATTAAACTAACTGCTTAGTGAGGAAATACCAAATAATAATTCTTCGAGTCAATATTTGTAAGGAACATATCATTCATGTTGCCTTCTTTTGTTTGGAAAATGCCTAAACATGGAAGTGAATAGTAAACTTGTTGTGCCTGAGGGAGTCAGTTTTAACTTTTAACGAATAGTGGGGAAATGCATAAAAAATGTGAGAAAATAGTGCTGTAAGGCAGTTTTTGGTTTAGCTCAAGGTGTGGACAGAGTAGCAGTAAATGGTTTTAACTTTTAACGAATAGTGGGAAATAATACATTAAAAAAGTGATATAAACTTGTGATGCAATTAACATATATGTGGCAGTAAATTCGAGAATAAATTTGAGTTGTTATAAAGATAAATGATCCAATTATTATATTATTACCACGCAATAATATTGTTTTACTATCATAAGTGTTGTTGATGCCGGTTAGTGGTTAGTGATGAATAACAATACTCTTATCTGCATCCTTTTCTTTTTCCCCTCAAGATAAATCTACATGCAAGCTATTGTTAAAAAAAAAAAAGTGTTTGACAGAAAATAGGATCACATGCAAGATCAATAAACTATCTACCATTAATAGCTCCAGGCTTTTTGCTCTCTTTTAGGTGGACTAGGCTTTTGCTTTTTGGTAGGCAAAAAACAAGGGGTCTAAGCAATGGGCCTATAGCCCAAGAACATAGGCTACATGCTGTCCCCACTTCTTTTTCCTCAACGAAATAGAAATTGTACTTCTAACCTAGATCAATTGGTTTGTAATAGCGTCACGATGCAACAACATAACTAAAAAATGATAAAAATTGTGGGTTAGAATTAGAAAAAAGAAAACCCTAGTCAGATTTAAGTCAACTTGAAATTCACAAAAACGATATGGGTCAATTTTGATCTAGACCTGTTTAAATTGAACGTGACACAAAACTCATAATAAAATTTTTTGAAAAATAAATTTTGCATCACATATTTTAAATTTTATTAAAACTTGTAATTTTATGATAGTTATTTTTAAAATCCCATGCCATTATTCGTTTAATTTTGATGGAACGGGTTGCAAATTTTAAGTTCTTTATAATGTGAAAAAAAAAACCTAAGAAAAATATACAATTCTTCTCAATCTTGAGTTTATGGGTTATTTTTGTGTCGTTTCGTGTTGAGTTAACCTACAAAATAGTCGTGTCGTATCAATTTTGTGGTAGTTAAAAATTAATTTTCTATCACTCGTCGTGTTTAGGTTGACTGTAAATTTAAGAAGAAACGATCAAAACACAATACGTGATACGAATTGTCACATCTAATTTATAACAAAAAAGACTAATTATTGGAGCTATTTATGGTTCTTGGCATTTTATAGTAAAATTAATAAATAGGGATTTGAATCTAATAGTTCAAGACATAGCCATGCCAATAATGTACTTTTACATACCGTACTTAATAATAAATCATAAAATTTTACAGTTTAGTTAGTGAGGTAGTATATCAATTTCCTTGCTCAATAAATTTAAAATTATAAAAACAAAAATCAATCATAATTGCTTGAACAATAGTTCTAAATTTTTAAAAATTATTCAGAAAAGAAAGTCAAACAACCAAACAGAGCAAGACCTCACTCATACAAAAATTTCATGAATAAGAATGCCTGTGTTAGCATCCCTCACAGGATTGTATTTAATCTAGAAAGCACATATTAATTCGTATAATAGCAAAGGTCACGTGCTAAAATCATTTTGTTCAGTGATGTCTTTTAGCTTTAGATCTGGTTAAAATTTTATCAAAATAGAGTTGTATTTTTATATGTTTTTTCAATACTTTATTGTAAAATTCTCAATGTTTAAATAAGTAATATCTATGTTTGTCTTGTCGTATTTTTTGCAACTCATGTTCTTGGAGAGGATGATAGCTTTACCTCTTTGAGCTTTCATTTGGGCAACTGAAAGAGTCTTGTTATTTATTTATTTTCATTTAGGCAGAAATCATTCCGAAACTTTTTTTCTTTTCTCAATTCATTCACTGGAGTTTCTCTAGTAACTTACTGATAGTGTCAGTTTTTAATCGGTGAATTAAATTAAAATTACATCAAATAAAAAAATATGCCAAATAAATAATTTTTAATACAATATTTGACTGTTAAAAATAAAAATTTACTAATAGTTTATTTTTTCTGATCCTACTCGAGAAGATGCCTTCATTCATTTTTTGAAAACATAATTTTTTTATTTTATTTCTAAGATAGCTAATTCTGAAAGTTGTTCTACCTGTAATAATACCATCCAACAAAACCATCTCCCTTGCAGTACTTAAAAAACCGTTAATGGGGCCCCGCAGTAGCCGTTGGTCTTCTCAAAGGGCTTTCTCTCTCTACCCCTCTCTCTCTCTTCTCTTCTCTTCTCTTCCACAAACAGCCTTGAAAGCAAATTAATCAATGTCCTAAAATTTCTGATCTGATCTTTCTTTGCCAAACCCTAACCCTAAACCTGTTCTTAATCCCACGTTAGTCCCTCTTCTGGCTTGATTTATCTTACATGTACAATGCACTTGATCATGTAACATGAATATTGATTTGAACAATTTTGTTTTCGTTTTCACTAAATAAATATTCGCGGTTTTATGTGACATTCAAGATTGTGGGATAATTGGGGTTTGATTGTGGAGTTAAGAATTAAGAATGTCGAATTCGTATGGAGATTACAATCAGAAGATTGACTACGTGTTCAAGGTCGTTTTGATCGGAGACTCGGCGGTCGGAAAAACGCAGCTGCTGGCGCGCTTTGCGAGGAACGAATTCAGCGTGGACTCGAAAGCTACGATTGGAGTCGAATTCCAGACGAAAACTCTTATCATTGATCACAAGACTGTCAAGGCACAGATTTGGGACACTGCAGGCCAAGAAAGGTGTGTGACATTAATTAATGTCTCATTTTCATTAATCTTGTTTGGGTACAAATCATCTAATAGATTTGTGGGATCCAATTTGGTTTTTAGATTATAGTGATGGAAATATTTCTATTTGATGTCATGGATAATGTTAAAAGACTAAAGGGTTCCTCGCAATCCAAGAAATTCAACAAACTTGGACCAAAGATTTGCTAGTTTGTGACAAATTTGGATACCCTTTATTGGGTTTTGCATACCAATTAAATTGATAATCATTGTTTGAAGGGTTATCAATATGAAGTTGAAGAAAATAACATTGTAGATTGTCGAATTTGATGGTCTTTATGTTGAAAAGGTAAACCTAATGTTGAAGGTTCATCATGTTTTACATTAATGTTATAATCGAGTGATAAGAAATTTGATGTTATGTTGTCTAAAAATTTCGAGAGGTTTGAATTTTTAAGCAACAAGACAAGGCTAAATTATGAATGCACATAACAAAACTTTTATCACAACCATGATCTAAAAGTTCAAGGCCTTTTTATTCATGTTCTTTGATTACAGTAATTAAAATTGACAGCTTGAATTCATGAAGCTATTTCGTTTCTGGTCTCTTAAGATACAGGGCAGTGACTAGTGCATACTACAGAGGAGCAGTCGGCGCAATGCTCGTTTATGACATGACCAAGCGCCAGTCATTCGACCACATGGCGAGGTGGTTGGAGGAGCTGAGGGGGCATGCTGACAAGAACATTGTCATCATGCTCATCGGCAACAAATGCGACTTGGGGAGTCTCCGGGCGGTGCCAACGGAGGACGCTCAGGAGTTTGCTCAAAGAGAGAACATCTTTTTTATGGAGACATCGGCTCTTGAGTCCACCAATGTTGAAACTGCATTCTTCACAATCTTAACCGAGATATATCGGATAATCAGCAAGAAGAACCTCACAGCCAGTGATCATGAGGTCAATTCGAGTGGTGGTTCGGGCCTGCTGAAGGGTACTAAAATCGTTGTTCCGACCCAGGAGGATTCGGGTACAAGGAAGGGCGGCAGATGTTGCTTTGCCTCCTAACTTCAACTCCTCATTTGAGAATTGTGTGTGTTCTCAATTTTGGGAAATATGTTGCTTTTTAGGCTTGTCCACTCTAGAGAATGTACTTTGTAGTAAGAGATGTTGCCCTTTACCAAGGAGCTTAGGCCGCAAACATGATATTTGGAAGACAGTTTCCTAAAAATTTACTTGTACTTCAGGAATATTGTTTTAGATCTTGTACAAAGTTCCAATTCTCAGAATGTTACTTGCTGGTTTCTTTTTTTTTTTTTTTTTTTCTTTCCATCATGTTCTTATCTCTATGTTTCGCTGGTTTCATTTTATGTTGGAGCGAAATTAATAGTGCAAAACTTTTTTTTAATATATTGTACTTTAAAAAATAATGCAAACCTTGCTCGTTAAAGAGTGTTAATTGTTGCATTTGGCTTTCATATGTCTTTTTTGAGGGGTAGATTGACATACCCTTGAAGCTTAGGGGCTGTTCTTTTGTCATTTTTGAGTTAGGTGACTTGAGTGTAGATTTTGAGTTGAGTTTGAGTTATAACTTGAGTTGAAATTCTAACTTGAGTTTGTGTTTAGTTGTGTACATTTGAGTTTGGTTTGAGATAAAAATCTTTTTGAGTTTGTGTTTGAGTGAGTCAAAACTTAAATTCATATTTAGATAGTATTTTAATAAAAACTCAATGCTGATGAAAAATTTTAATAGAGTATATGAGTGGGGTTTTATTCGTCTTTTCATTGTCAGCGCATAAAAAAAATCATCTCAATCAGAATTAAAACGAAAAAGTTATAGCATTTTTAAGAATAGAAAAAATACTGTTCATTAATTTGAGTTCGAGTTTCTGAACTCGAGTTGAAAGAGAAACTTGAACTCGAGTTTTAAGGGCTGTTCAGCAGCCCCATTTTTGAGTTAAAAACTCAAAAAAAGTAACTCGAGTTACAACTTTATTTTGAGTTTATGTTCTTTTAAATTTGAACTCAAGTTTAAACTCGAGTTAGAACTCGAGTTTGGGACTAAAACTCGAGTTCAAGTTTCCTCTTCAACTCGAGTTCAGAAACTCGAACTCAAGTTAATGAACAGTATTTTTTCTATTCTTAAAAATACTATAACTTTTTCATTTTAATTCTGATTGAGATGATTTTTTTTTCTATGCGTTGACAACGAAAAGACAAATAAAACCCCACCCATATACCCTATTAAAATTTTCTATTAGCATTGAGTTTTTATTAAAATATTATCTAAATATAAATTCAAGTTTTGACTCACTCAAACACAAACTCAAAAAGATTCTTATCTCAAATCATAACTCAAATGTACACAACCAAACACAAACTCAAGTTACAACTTTAACTCAAGTAATAACTCAAACTCAACTCAAAATCTACACTCAAATCACATAACTCAAAAAAGGCAAAAGAACAGCCCATAACTCAAACTCGAGTTCAAACTCGAGTTTTAGTCTTAAACTCGATTTCCCCGTTCATTTCGCTTATTCGAGTTTTGTTACAGTAAAAAGATCTCACAAACAATCACATCTAACTTTTTTACTATAGTAAAAAGCTCTCACATAAAATCACATCTCAACTCGAATTAAAAACTCGAATCAGCGAACTAAACGGGCCCGTGTTGTATCAAATTCGGCATCCAAGGCTTCCATGGCTTCAAGCTAAAAGACTAGTTCTGCATATCTCAGAGAGAGAGAGAGGAGAGAGAGAGAGAGAGAGAGAGAGAGAGAGAGAGAGAGAGAGAGTACGGCAAAATTTTATGTGCCCCATTCTATTATATTTATTTAAATTTTTAAATTTGCGTTGAGTTTATGAATTTATAATCATTCTCAATTTATATGTGTTTTTTATGAGAAAAAATAATGTAGCGAATCACGAATCATGATTCAAATCATGACACGAATACACCAACTAAACGCAGAGGAATGATTTGTGTTACATTTGAAGTAGGATGTTAAAATTTTAGACAAATTACACTTGTACTCTCTGAACTATTGCCGTTTTGTAAAAATTTCCTTTAAAGTTTAAAAATCGTAAAGTTTTTCCTAAATAATTCGATGTTAGCACACTTCCCCCTTATTCGTCCTTTCTGTTAAATTTTAAACGGTAAGTGATACGTGTAAGTCACTGAAGTATTAAAATTTTATTTTATTATAAAATGACGATATTGCCCTTAAAACCCAATATACTATTTCTCAATTTATCTTTCCTTAATCATCTCAATGTCATGTTTAGAACAAGAAGAGACATTATGAAATCATCTCAATTTTGAGTGTGTCTCCCAGGAATGGGTTTCCCAGAATCGAGTGCGTCTTTGTTAGGAAGAGCCGATTGGAGATGGACCCAAGCCGGTTATTTAAATTTTTAAATTTGCGTTTAGTTTATGAATTTAAAGTCATAATTTAAAATCATTCTCAATTTATGTGTGTTTTTTATGAGAAACAATACTGTAGCGAATCACGAATTATGATTCAAATCATGACACGAATATACCAACCAAACGCAGAGGAATGATTTGTGTTACATTTGAATTAGGATGTTACAATTTTAGAAAAATTACAGTTGTACTCTCTGAACTATTGCCGTTTTGTAAAAATTTCCCTTAAAGTTTAAAAATAGTAAATTTTTTCATGAATAATTCGATGTTAGCACGCTTCCCCCTAATTCGCCCTTTCTGTTAAATTTTAAACGGTAAGTAATACGTATAAGTCATTGTGTATTAAAATGTTATTTTATTATAAAATGACGATGTTGCCCTTAAAACCCAATATACCATTTCTCAATTTATCTTTCCTTAATCATCTCAATTTCTTGTTTAGAACAAGAAGAAACATTATGAAATCATCTAAATTTTGAGTGTGTCTCTTAGGAATGGGTCTCCCAGAATCAAGTGTGTCTTTGTTAGGAAGAGCCGATTGGAGATGGACCCAAGCCGGTTATTTAAATTTTTAAATTTGCGTTTAGTTTATGAATTTAAAGTCATAATTTAAAATCATTCTCAATTTATGTGTATTTTTTATGAGAAAAAATACTGTAGCGAATCACAAATCATGACATGAATACACCAAAGAAACGCAGAGGAATGATTTGTGTTACATTTGAATTAGGATGTTAAAATTTTAGACAAATTACACTTGTACTCTCTGAACTATTGCCGTTTTGTAAAAATTTCTCTTAAAGTTTAAAAATAGTAAATTTTTTCATGAATAATTCGATGTTAGCACGCTTCCCCCTTATTCGTCCTTTCTGTTAAATTTTAGACGGTAAGTGATACGTGTAAGTCACTGAAGTATTAAAATTTTATTTTATTATAAAATGACGATGTTGCCCTGAAAACCCAATATACTATTTCTCAATTTATCTTTCCTTAATCATCTCAATTTCATGTTTAGAACAAAAAGAAACGTTATGAAATCATCTCAATTTTGAGTGTGTCTCTCAGGAATGGGTCTCCCAGAATCGAGTGCGTCTTTGTTAGGAAGAGCCGATTGGAGATGAACCCAAGCCGGTTATTTAAATTTTTAAATTTGCGTTTAGTTTATGAATTTAAAGTCATTATTTAAAATCATTCTCAATTTATGTGTGTTTTTTATGAGAAAAAATACTGTAGCGAATCACGAATCATGATTTAAATCATGACACGAATACACCAACCAAACGCAGAGGAATGATTTGTGTTACATTTGAATTAGGATGTTAAAATTTTAGAAAAATTACAATTGTACTCTCTGAACTATCGCCGTTTTGTAAAAATTTCCCTTAAAGTTTAAAAATAGTAAATTTTTTTCTGAATAAATGGATGTTAGCACGCTTCCCCCTTATTCACCCTTTCTGTTAAATTTTAAACGGTAAGTGATACGTATATGTCACTGAAGTATTAAATTTTTATTTTATTATAAAATGATGATGTTGCCCTTAAAACCCAATATACTATTTCTCAATTTATCTTTCCTTAATCATCTCAATTTCATGTTTAAAACAAAAAGAAACATTATGAAATCATCTCAATTTTGAGTGTGTCTCCCAGGAATGGGTCTCCCAGAATCGAGTGCGTCTTGGTTAGGATCGAGTGCGTCTTTGTTAGGAAGAGCCAATTGGAGATGGACCCAAGCCGGTGGTGGGAAATCGCGACGATTAGAGGCGTGGCGGTGATTCTAAGCGCGATGAAGTGGATGATTTCGATAAAAATGCTCAGATCCATGACAACCCACTCTTGAACGAAGAAGGATTTCATGAAAAAGTAAATCAACATTTTCAATGCTTTGCATAAAAACTAAATTTTTTTTTTGAGTCTTGCAGAATTATCAGAATCAAAATCTGAAGGTAGGTTGGGGTGAGTGATTCTTACCTGTGTCTCTATAATTCCCTGAACCACGCACTCCATTGAAATTCTGGCTTTTGTTAATAGCAAGTTTTGAAGCGAAACCAACACATACACCTTCTTCGTTCAAGAAGACTAAGGCTTTTCTCTCTCTCTCTCTCTCTCTATATATATATATATACATAGAAAAGCCTTAGTCTAATATTGTTCGCTTTTCTCTCTCTCTCTCTCTCTCTATATATATATATATAGAAAAGCCTTAGTCTAATATTGTTCGCATTGTGTAATTATTGAGTGTGTGAAATTACTCTAGAATTTTTTGGCCTTGGTTCTATTTCGAACATGTTAGAATTTGACCTAAATTACTTATTTGTTCTTGTAATGAGAGTCATGTGCCACAAACGTGACACTAAACGTTCAAAATTTAATCGAAGAGGTGAAAAAAGGGAACGCGCCTACACCTTCTTCGTTCAAGAAGACTAAGGCTTTTCTATATATACATATAGAAAAGCCTTAGTCTAATATTGTTCGCATTGTGTAATTATTGAGTGTGTGAAATTACTCTAGAATTTTTGGCCCTAATTGGTTCTTCGAACATGTTAGAATTTGACCTAAATTACTTATTTGTTCTTGTAATGAGAGTCATGTGCCACAAACGTGACACTAAACGTTCAAAATTTAATCGAAGAGGTGAAAAAAGGGAACGCGCCTACACCTTCTTCGTTCAAGAAGACTAAGGCTTTTCTATATATATATATAGAAAAGCCTTAGTCTAATATTGTTCGCATTGTGTAATTATTGAGTGTGTGAAATTACTCTAGAATTTTTGGCCCTAATTGGTTCTATTTCGAACATTTTAGAATTTGACCTAAATTATTTATTTGTTCTTGCAATGAGAGTCATGTGCTACAAACGTGACACTAAACGTTCAAAATTTAATCGAAGAGACAAAAAAAGAGAATACGTGCTAACGGCAAATTATTTAGGGAGAAAATTTGCTATTTCTAAACTTTAGGGGGAATTTTTGAAAACGCCAATAGTTCAGGGGGCATAAGTGTAATTTGTCCTAAAATTTTTATTCGAATGTGTTTTTTCAACACTAATTTAACACAATCATAGTCAAAACAGGGCATATTACAATAATTTTATAAGTTGAGGGAGTAACTTGCCAAAATTAAAATTTCAAAGAGCAAATTGCTAAAACCATACAAGTTTTTGGGGAGTAAATGAATACCCTATCTTTTTTCGTCAAGTAACTATATTATTTAAAAGGCTATTAAGTAAGAGTAATGGATAAATATCTAAATCCATACACTTCAAGATAAGTTGAGCATTTTTTCTTTATTTGTTACCCATTTACCCGCGGAGACCCGCATTAAACGGGGTGGGAAAAATCCGCTTTAAACGGATCCGGATTATAAACGGGTTAAAATTTTAACCCGTTGAGGGCCGCGGGGCGGGGACGGATTTAGAGGTCCCCGACCTTAATCCCCGTTTACCCACCCCGTTTAATTATATTATATTTTTAAATTATATATATTATGTCTAATATGCTATAATATATAATTTTAAGTAGAATTTATTACATAATATATATGAAAATTTAAAACTTTCTTTTTATTTTTTACTTAATGCTTTGTATGTTTATATTGTTTAATTAATTATTTATTTATTTTACAATGAAAATAAATAATCAGGTAAACGGGAGTTTCGTGAATACTCCGAATTCATGATGAGAAAATCCGATCCGTAACCTATCAATTTGTGTTGATTTATAGACATATATAGTGAGTATTTATATTTACGAGACGCGCCCCGCTCTAGATTCGCCCCGTTGCCGTCCCTACCCAGTTTCAAGCTCAGCCCAAAATGAGGTTCCACTAATGTTGCTTCGCTTTACAATTGGTGTCTCTGTGGGATAAAAAAATTCATTTTATCCTCTTCTTATATGGTTAGTTTTTAACTCTTTGCACCAAAGCGAATTATGTCCTATTTGTCCAGATAATGAATTTGGACATATTATTAAACGACCTATATATGTGTGTATATTCAGGTACAACAAATAATATATGAAAAATTTGGTATAACAAATATCATTATATTAAAGAGTGTTTTTTGCACGTAAATTTTAAATTTATTATTGACATATTAATTATAGTATTGCATTGAATATATTCTTATTCAATTGAAGTAAAGCATTTAAGAGACGTTTGGTTAGAGGATTCAAACCATGATTCGAATCATAATTCATAATTTGTTAGAGCATTTTCTCTCATAAAAAATATACGTAAATTAAAAATAATTCTAATTATATAATTTTAATTTATAAATCAAACGTCTACTTAATATCATTATATTAAAGAGTGTTTTTTGCAAGTAAATATTAAATTTGTAATTTCTGCTATAAATTGCCCACTTCTTTACTTTTCTCATGATTTTGTGAAAAGCCCAAAATACTCAAAAGTACGGAGCTAAGTCCAATTTCATCATTGGCCCACTATTATATCAGTAAATCAAAACGCATTGCCGCTTATAATCCCGCTCTCAAGATAATTTGAATTTTGAATCAGACCAAAAATAAAAATGAAAAATATCCAAAGAAAAAAACCGAAACGTGTGAAAATTTTAGGGGTCATTGAGTATAAGACCGCCCATTTTTCATTTTGAAAAATTTGCCAATTCGGTCTCTCTCTCTCTCTTTCTCTTTCTCTCTCTTCTTCTTCTTCACTTTTAAGCCCCCCATTTCTTAACTTCAATCGAACCTCCAAACCCTAACCATTTTCACAGGTAATTCCCTTCTCCATTCTTCTTCTTCTCCATCTCCTGGTTGTTGATTTTCTCAGATCCATTAACAATTCTGTCGCCGGGAAATCTGATTTTTATTCGGTGATGAGTTATTGAATTCTTGCCGGAATGAGTACTAGATCGCGATATCTGTGTTTTCTTTCGGTGGTTTTTCTGAAGATTTGTTTTACATTTCTTTGGTTTCAGTTGAATCATTGCTCAGCTATGCCGGAAGCAAGGGACAGGTTATCGAGGCCGGTGGACGTCGCCGCAATGTTCGCTCGACGGAGATCAGCCGCCGTCCAAGTTTTGGTCGACGATACGGAGAACGGCGCGGACCTGTTCAGATCTCCGATCAGGCAACAGCCTGCAGCGATGGCGACCGGCGTACGTACACCTATGGACACGACGAGGTGGTGGTGGAGTGGGGATCGGGAGGGGTGGTTTGGGGACTCCAAGAACGGGAAACTCGCGTTTCCGGAGCTCGTTCAGATCCTCGTCGGCAGCGGCGGTGGCGAGTAGGGAGAATACGCCGGCGCCGGGGATTGTTCGGCGGGGAAGAGGGCGTGGAAGAAGCGGCGTGTTGCCGTATTGGTACCCAAGAACCCCTCTCCGTGATATCACTGCTATCGCGAGGGTACGTATCTGTTTCTTGAAATGTTTAATCTCTGTGATCTGGTTCATTTTCGACGTAAATGTGGATTTCGTAATTTGATTGCCGGTTCTGATTTCATGTATTATTGTAATTGATTTTTAGATTCATTTTGAGATTTTGTTATATTGAATGGATCAATTGTCATGAAAACTTGATCATGAATTTCTTGTGTTGGGGCGAGTGAACTATTATAGGAGCAAGTCCTTTTTTTTTTTCTTTTTTATTTCTTTCCTGAGAAATTAAGTTTCAGCTTGGTTGAATTTATTGCTTAAACTATAATGCTCGTCCTTTTCAATAATTGCGTTGTTTCCGGAATTCTTTTGGTGATAAAGGAGTAGTTGTTTTCTTAGCCAATAGCCAGCAATTGAATCTTAATTTTAAGAATTTTCGGGTATGTTAAAGTGAGTAGGGTTTATTAGATTCTTTTTTTTTCCTAATATATTTCAATAATTGCGAAATAAAGCCCTTGCTGTGTTTTTGGCCGCAAATGAAAATTTTCAAATTAAACATTTGGGTTTATTAAAGTTTGTAGTGTTTATTTTCTTCTCTTTTCATAAGAAGAAGCCCTTTGTATTTTCCTGGTTTTGAAATTCTTTTTATTACTCTTCGTTAGTTTTTATTTATTTATTTATTTTTCTTGGATCTCACTTTATATATGTTATTTAAATAAATATGGGATCCCGTGAATAATGGCTACCCATACTTCATTATAGTTCTTTCAGAATGTGTAGATTATTTTTTCTGATTATTGGATTTCGTACTTGTTTGATATCTGTACAAGTCAGTAAATTTCTGTATGTCTTTTCCATACGAACTTTCCATGTTCCGTTTTGGTCTTTCATTTTTGCTTGCTTGTGATTGTTCACCTTTTGCATTGTCCTTTCATTATATTGTGGTGAGGTTTGTTACTTTATTTTCAAAGCTGTTTACATAGGGAACCATGTTGTTCATAGTAAAATGAAACTCGGGTTTCCTTCCCCCACCCTATAGGTGAAAAAAGATACTTTGGTGCTTTTGTAGTTGTACTTTTAATTTGTCAAATTGAAGCATCTTTAATAATTATTTTGAAGTCAGAATTATCTATATTAAGATTTGACCAAATTCTACGTGTCATTTTTTCCTTTTTATCTTTTGAGCAAGTCAATGAGGGTTGTATTCTTGAAACCATTTGGAACGAAAGCATTCACTGCATTAAATATGAAATGACTCAGTGCAATGTTGATTGCAGTCAATGCCATAATTGGCTTGTATTATATGCGGATTTTGGCATTAACTCTTGAGCATGGAAGTTTTTATTTATGAAATTGGTTGTTGAGAAGTATCTTACGAAAAATTCTATCATTAGGCCATAGAAAGGACAAGAGCTCGCCTGAGGGAAGACGAAGGCCAAGACGTTGCAAGTCCTGCACCCCAAGAACAGGGATTTCTCGATCCTTCTGTATCAGTATCTGTTGCTCCACTCGAGCACAATATTATCACTACCTCTCTACATTCAGCATTCAGAAGAAAACCTTGCCCACCTTCTGTTGGTAAAGTTCCAAAAATCCTGCTCGGGATTGCAAATCAGACCACTGCAGGATCGGAATGTCTCACACCCCAGAAGAAACTACTGAACTCCATTGACACAGTTGAGAAGGTAGTTATGGAGGAGCTGCAGAAACTGAAGCGAACGCCAACTGCTAAGAGGGCAGAGAGAGAAAAAAGAGTCAAAACTTTGATGTCAATGCGTTGAATGCTTTTCATCTTGACAGAACTCAAAGTTGAGAGCACATAAAGCAGTTAGGATTAGAAGGACAGAAGCTTGGGCAAGACTCCTTGCAGCACTTCTTTATCGACTTGTGGATAGCTGATACATTTTGCTTTATAGGATCAGCTTATCGGCTCTGGGTCTTTGCCTAGGACCAGTTGACTTACCGTGTACTTGGTTTTTTTCGGTCGATCATCATTCTTTGATGGTTTTGTGTAGAAGTAGTAGATATTTTTTGGGAGATAATGTACATATAGGCCATGTTAGTTTTTCTGCTACATTGTTTGTTTCAAGTCTTTTCTCATGTACAACTAGTCAATTACTATTCAAGGATGACAATGAAGGATGACTTTATCAAATGCAATTCTCGTCTGAAATGTTTTTGGAAATTTGCTTCTGCTTTCAAATTTACAGTCTTATTCATTGCTCGACTGTATATACTAAGGTGATGGCCAGTTAGCCACCGAAAGAAAACATATCATTATGCGGAATTGATTCTTAGGGGGTGTTTGGTTGGAGAGAATGGAAAAGAATATAATTATTTGTTTGGTTGGTTTTGGAATCAAGAATAGCCGTTCCATTAGAATGATTTTTTGCTCATTTTAAAGGAATTGTCATTTCTTTATGAGATGAGTGGATTGACTATTCTAATTAGTGTTGTAAGTTCGGGCGGCGGGCTGCTCGAAGCCTGAAAATTTTTGGGCTTGGTGGGTAGGCACTATTTATTGCCTGTCTACACATTTTTACCAGGCTCGGGCTCCCGCAGCCTGAGGAAAAACCAACCTTGGCAGGCCGCTGTCGGTGGAGAAGTTGTGACCGCCGTCCGCTGTAAATTTTTTTTTTTGAATTTTTCAGTGTAACCCGAAACCTGACCTGTTGGCCAAAAACCCAAAAAACAACTAGTTTTTTTGAATTTTTGCCCGACCCGACCTGAATTTTTGGTGACTGTTAACCCGAATTTTAAATGCAACTGCTCTATTTTGCCCGACCCAACCCGCCGCCCGACTTGCCCGACCCTAACGGCTCTTTTTTTTACCGTTGCTTGATTTGCCCGAACCCAACCAGACCAGACCCGACCCGAAAGTGTGTTACCATTGGAACTGAAAATTTGAGGAAAAATTTTTTTTCAAGCCAAAAAATTACCTATAAATACCCCTCTTCCCCCAACCATTTTTCTCAACTAAAAACTCTCATCCTTTTTTAATTTCTTAATCTCTCCCAAATCTCTCTTAATCTCGCTCAAATCTCTCTTAATCTCTCTCAAAGCGTTCTCAATCTCTCTTATTTTTCATAATGGATTCTTCTGGTTATGGTGGTGATATTCCCATTGATGACCAATTCAACATCGAAGAAGGGTAATTTTCTATTAATAATTTTCAAACGCAGGAATCGCAAACTGCAGAAAGAGCTGCTGAGAAAACTGCAAATCCGAGCTCCGGTGGACGTATAGAGGTAGTGGACGTAATGGTGATGGGCGTGGAGGAGAGGCAAACAGAAGTGCTAGTGCAAGTGTTGCAAGTTCTAAGAAGAAATGCAAGTGCATCTCAACAGTTTTGGAGCACTTCAACACATTCGAGGAGGTCGACAATAATGGTAACGTTAAATACATAGCTCAATGCAAATATTGTGGTGATAAATTACAAGGTAATACTATTCACGACACTACACACTTGAGAAGACACTCTGAAAAGTGTCTTTAAAAGCAAGGAGGCGGACCCGATCTCCGTCAAATACAATTATCGTTTGACTGTCAAACCGGCGTTCTAACCACTTAGAAATACGATCCGCAAGTCGATTGTATGGAAATGGCACGATTAGTAGCCACATTAGATCAACCACTTAGTTTTACCGAACAAAAGAATTGTCAGCGTTATATTAAAATTGTACATAATCCTAATGCATAATTTTTTTCAAGAACTACTCTTAGTAAAGATGCATTAAAATTATATAAAAAAGAAAGGGAAGCATTAATCGACCTTTTACACTCTACTAGTGGTTGTGTTGCGTTAACGGCGGATATTTGGTCCGCCGTTGCCAACAAAGATTATTTAGCTGTAACTGGACATTATTTTAAAGGTTTTGATTTAGATAAGAGAATATTATGTTTTAAATGTGTTATAGGATCATATACTGTCAATTTAATATATAATACAATTTTATCTGTCATTGATGAATATAGTTTAAGGGATAGAGTAATGGTTATAACATTAGATAATGCTACTGCAAATACTAAAGTAATAGAACCTTTTGAAAATGATTTAAGTTTATTTGGTAATAATGATATATTTCACCAACGTTGTGCATGCCATATAATTAATTTAATAGTAAAATCCGGTTTAAAATCAATGTCATGTCATATTAAAAGAATTAGAGATAACATTGCATGGATTTAAGGTAATAATCAAAGAATACAAGATTGGTTTAGGTTTCTACAGGCATGTAATTAAAATCCTAGAAAATTAGCCTTAGATATGCCCGTAAGATGGAACTCCACTTATATAATGCTTGAACAATGCATCCCCTATGAAGATGCTATAACAAACTATTTTAGTGTAAAATTAGGCCCAAGATTTATAGACCAAACTGATTGCCAAATTGCCAAACTTTTGTATAGCTTTTTAGGTAGATTTTACGAAGTTACTTTAAAGTTTAGTGGAACATATTACCAACGTCACCATTAGCATTTGGAGAACTTTTACGAATGACTTTTTTATTTAGTGAATTTAGGACACACGAGATTTGAGGAGTTCTTATCGCTTCTATGGAAAAAAAGTTTAAAAAATATTGGTCTAAATTACCAATGTTATATGATTTCGGTGTTAGTTTTGATCCCAAATTAAAATTAGATGGTTTAGAAAGTGGATTAGACAACTTATGTGACTTTTTAGATATCGACTATTCTGACCAATTTCCTATTATAAAGGAAAAAATATTATCTCTCTATAGCTCTTATGAAAGTAGGTTTAGAAACACACATTGTGTAGAACAACCGCAACAACGAGATGAAAATCCGCATTCATTCTTGAATGTTTTCAGGTTAAAGAAGAAGAAGAAGAAGACGATGACGACGACTTAAAGTCTAAAAGAATCTGGGAGTGGATCTTCATCAAGAGGTGGCGGCAACAGCGGTGGCTTCAACGAGTTAATGGCGTACCTGAGTGAGGGCTTAGTTGTCAACAATAGTGAAATGTTTAATTTAGTTAAGTGGTGGAGGGCACGAGCATTAACTTGGCCGATCCTAACTCGACTGACAATGAATATTTTTTCAATCCCAGTCTCCACTGTTTCATCCGAACAAGCCTTCAGTACAACCGGCCGAATACTTGAAGAATGTAAAAACGCATTGCAACATGACATTGTTGAAGCTTTAGTGTGCATCAAGAATTGAGATCGTTCGGATCAACGCTTACATGATACAATTTTACCGGCAAGACAAGAATGGATCGATGAATTTAATAGATTAAATTTTAATTTTCAAGATGATCCTTCAGCTTCAAATTAAATTATATTATTGTAATTTGTAAATATTTATTTACTTTGTACACTGTTATTGTAATCTTGTATAGACTTTGTAAGTTCATTAAATTTGTAATTCGTACCATAATGATTGCATTCTTTTTTTCTTACCAATTTTTTATTCCAATTGAGTTTTTCTTGGTAAGGTTTTTAATGAAGCAATCATGAATTACAAATTTAAAACTTAATAAATAAATAATTTTTTTATATAGTTCGTGTTCATTTCAAATTGCAATCCCCCTTATAATTTTTGTATAATTTTTACAATAAATAACTTTAAAATCATTTATATACATACCATATACAATTAATAAATAAAATTATATATAATATATAAAAAATATTTAAAAAAATTCAGGTAACTCGGGCGAGCTTGGGCTGCCCGACCGGGCTCGGGTAGCCAAAAGCTGCCCGAAGCCCGTCCATGATGTTCCTTGGGTCGGGTTAGGCAGCCCGAAAATTTGGGCTCTAACGAGCTCAGTCATCAAATAAAAATTTAAAATTTTCGGTGATCGTAAATGACCCGTCTAAAATTTCAGCACTAATTCTAATGTGTATTCACCCATACTTTCTATAAATACCCTTTATTTTAGTTTTAAAGATCTGTATTTAACTACATAGAATTGACGAACACCACCACCATCTCTTCCCCGCCAATCACCGCTCCCCCGATGAGCTTCGACGATGCTTAGCTCCTCCTGCCGCTCCTCCGATGACCTTCGGCGGTGCTCATCTCGTCCTGCCGCCCCAATCTGCAAGGTTCTTCTCCTCCTCCTCTCTCAACCCCACAGCCTTCATCTTCTCCTTCGACGGATCTCCACCTCCGTGCTTAGCTCCGCCGAGCCCGTTACTGGCAATCAAGATCGAGCATGGTCTGTCAAAGTTCTCCATCAAAAACAAAACTAATCTCTCTTTCTTGTCCCGATTATTAGATCTACAAAATGTTCATTTCTTTGTCCTGATTATTGTGCACTTATAGGCTCCATGTGCGAAGCTTACCAGCGTGACCATGTCTTTGCTCATATCTACCAATTTCATTCGCGTCCATTTCTTGAGAAAATTTTCACGCCCATTCCGCTTTTTTTTTTTTTTTTTTTTTTTGAAGTTTACTTGAAGATTTTCCGTTGTTGGGTGTGATAGTAGGCTTGAGTTCGAAGAGCAGCCCAATATATATTCAGGGATCGTTTCAGATTTGAAATTGAGCTTGAATATGGCAAGAGTTGGTGGTGCTTATTTTGGGTGTGGTTCTATTGCTTGAACAATCATATTTAAAATACACACACACACACACACATATATATATATATATATTATACATATACTAAAGGAACAGAATAGTCTATAGTGCAATGAACAGTGTCTTTCATTTTTTATTCCTACATATTTCTTTAGATGATTCTTTTATTTTCATTATGTCTTTTTGAATGTAAACTTACTATATTGGCTTTTAGTTTAGTTTCATGTGCTTTGGTTTATTCTGACCGTTTTGGTCATTTACACTCAAATTGAGTGTTTTATTTTTTTATTTTTCGTTTGTTGCTTTCTACAATCTTCTTTTTCTTCGTTTGTTGCTTTGTGCCCTAGATTAGGGCTGGGCTGGGCCATAATTCCAGGCCCATAGGCGGCCTGAGCCTGGCCCAGAGAGCCCGAATGGCCCGAAATGGCCTAAAGGCCTAAATTTTTTTATTTACTTGTTTCTGGCCCCTTTTTTTTCACTTGTTTCTGACTCAATTGGCAAAGTACAACGGTAATATTACCGTTGGGCTGACTCACTGCCGTGAGGCAGTGAGTTTGCTTTTTTTTTTTTATTTATTTACTTGGC